GACTGTCGGTTAATGAACAGCACACTGATTCGGGCTTCACTTAATACAATATTTGTTGTTTATTCTGTTTTAAAGTAGCCTACTTACTGTCCTGTACTGACTGGAGTGAATGACGAAATTACTACAGCAGGCTGCGTAAAACTCAGTTGAACCTGATCTTGAAGGGTTTAGGATATCAGGATGACATGTTCACTATGTCTGTTCTTCTAAGCTAATGACAGACTTGGCATGTGCAATGTCATGTTGCGCTTCACGTATCCCATCTTCTGTATAAGGTCTTTATTCCTTTACAACTAGCTCACTGGTTCGTTTAGTTAGTCTACAATGTCTAACAGTGTACATAAATATATCACAGAAAAATTCTTACCCAAATGTGATTTCCATAACATGCTGGTAGAACAAAGTGGCCAACTTTATAGTTTTGTTAAGGCTAATTACATAGCTAGCATTTTGTATATTAAAATAATTTTTTCACTTTTTTTTTGTTGCATAATTTCACAAAATTTTTTTTTTATCTAATATTTTACTTTTTTATTTACTGAACACTTCATGTCCAATGGACAGAAATGAATTTTTTAAATACAATAATCAAAACTGTTTAAGCTTATTTTCACTTTTTTTTTCATCATTTTAATTATTATTATTATTATTATTATTATTATTATTATTATTATTATTATTCATGCTGGTAGAACAAAGTGGCCAACTTTATAGTTTTGTTAAGGCTAATTACATAGCTAGCATTTTGTATATTAAAATAATTTTTTCACTTTTTTTTTGTTGCATAATTTCACAAAAATTTTTTTTTATCTAATATTTTACTTTTTTATTTACTGAACACTTCATGTCCAATGGACAGAAATGAATTTTTTAAATACAATAATCAAAACTGTTTAAGCTTATTTTCACTTTTTTTTCATCATTTTAATTATTATTATTATTATTATTATTAATCTTTTTTTTTTTTTTTTTTTTTTATAGTCTGGGTTTGGGACAAGGGTAAAATAGTCAAACTTGCAGTACAGATTCCTACAGCATATACATTTTTGTCTACATATTTTCACATACATACATCTTTTGTCTAGAATGGCCATGATTTGACAAAAATAAAGGAATGAATTAATAAATTTTTGTGGCAACAATATGTTGTTTTTTTCTCTCATGTGCAGGGCTCTGTATAAAAGATTTGTTTCTGTGTGACGTTCATATAAATAATTGTAAGCCTGCTTTCTTTCTCTGAAACCTTTGCATGTCGTTTTGAGCATTAAAAACACTCTTGCTCTCTTTCCAGAGTGCTTTGTAAACAAGTTATCACCCCTGTCCTAACCATACAATGAGAATTTACAGACCTCTCTTTGGATGTGTATGTAGGTCAGAGAGCATGCCTGCATCTTAAACTAACAGAGAACCTTTGGCTGCTGAAAGCTGCTAACCAAAACAAGACTACACCACCTCCACTTACAGCCGGCCCTGAACAAACTAATGTTACACAAAGCGTGGGCAGGGCAGCTGAACAGGACGGTCACATAATAATAAAGAACATCTCTTCCTACAGTTGAAGACGTGATCTCTGCCTGGTCCTGCTCTGAGTGAGGTCTCAAATTACCCTCTATAGACTGAGATTTATTGTTGTAGTGCTCAAGGCCGGTCTTGAGACTGGCCTTAAAGGGATACTCCACCCCAAAATGAAAATGTTGTCATTAATCACTAACCTCCATGTCGTTCCAAACCCGTAAAAGCTTCGTTCGTCTTCGGCACACAATTTAAGATATTTTGGATGAAAACCGGGAGGCTTGTGACTGTCCCATTGACTTGAACCACTGATGGCAGATGGACTATTCTGATGATGTCTTTCATACTTTTCTGAACCTTGACAGTGTTATTTACTTGGCAGTCAATGGGACAGTCACAAGCCTCCCGGTTTTCATCTAAAATATCTTAAATTGTGTTCCGAAGACGAACTAAGCTTTTACGGGTTTGGAACGACATGGGGGTAAGTGATTAATGACAACATTTTCATTTTGGGGTGGAGTATCCCTTTAAGGCCATTTTGTGAAGGTCTTGGTCACTGATTTATACTGTTATGCCGGGTCAAAAATTAATGAGGGAATTAAATGTGGATCTTTCAGATGAATTTGAGTAGTGCTGGTCTGGTCTTGGTCTTGGTCTTGTCTTGGTCTCAACCCCTCAAATCTTGGTCTTGTTTTGGTCTCAACACACATTGGTCTTGGTCTCAGATTAAAAGTGAGAAAAAAAAAGTGAAATTTTAATCTGTTTTAATTTTTTCCACAGAATTTTACCAGAAACATCTGAGACAAACATAACTGAGAATTAGATTAAGGATGTGATTTTGAAGAACTAGCCAACCATAGCTGATCCTGCTCACAGCAAACTGATGTTTCCATGAAACACGTCGGTCCCATGGCCAGAGTAACAGAGGTTTGAAAACACAGCCTTGGTGTGGATTTCTTGCTGTCATCCAATGTGACCTTCAGAAATCCAGAACCTCACATTGGTCTCAATGGGTTGTTCATATTTTTCCTGTGAGATATTAATCTTTGTCACCTGTGAAGGAAATCATGATTTTTTTTTGCATGTTTCTGAGCTAAAGGAATGTTTTGATGGTCTCCTTACCTTGTAAGAGGGTCTCATCTTACAAAAAAACAAGGGCTACGTTCCATCCGTGCAGATGATAGCAGCAGCTGTGGAGGCCAATCTAAAGGTAACTGCACAAAAAGTTCATCTACTGACTAAAAACATCTTAAATGTTTGATCTTGCTCCCAGAAGTTCGTAACAGTGATCATGTGATTCCCTTCGTTCTTACACAAACCTACTCACATGGATTGTTGTGAGGTTTACAGGGTTTTCCCCATTTAGCTAATTAAAATTAATCTGATTACACTACTGTTGCATCATTTGGTGGCACAGCTCATTATCTCTGGACTTTCCCTATAATCTATTCACTCAAGACACACTTGATATTATGTTGCCTCCAGTTAAACTGCACCTATTTGTCATGCTTTATTATTTACATCATTTGGATTGAAATAGGTTTTGGATTCGGCCAAAATAGCGTTGGAGAGCTGAAATCAGTGACGTGTATTAGTGCTTCTCTGATGACTTGTCAGCTGTGTGGACACTAGTGCTCGATTAACTTTTAATGCTATTTGATTATTGTTTTGACTAGTGTTGATTATTAATTAATTGATTAATAAATTAAATTTAGTTTTGTTATTCAGAGAAGTGCATCCTGAAATTTCGGTTTTGGTTTCGGCCCAGAATTTCCAACCAAAAATTAGAATTCTCTCATCACTACTCACCCTCATGCCGTCCCACGTGCATTGCAAAACACGTTCGTTTTCTCATAAAATAGATTTAATTTTACCTAATTTCTAAATGATTCGTAAACGACTCGTGTGAAGCAGTTCAAAGAATCAGTCTCTCTAAACCCCTCCTTTCCGTGAGCCCTCACTGCTGTGATTGGTCAGATGGTGCAGTCCTTTGTGATTGGTCCAGAGTCGTAGAGAGATTGGCTCTGGATTGGTCTACCGCGTACAGCACGTGTCGGAAACGGTCAGAAACGAAACGTCCATTGCCATGACGGAATGACAGCCCTGGCGACTTGCCAATACATAGAAAAGATGGTATCGATTGTACCTTACCAATTCGAGATGGAGTCTGATGATGAAACGGTTGAACTGGCTGATTGACAAGAGACTGATTTGCAAGCACGACTGGAGCAGGACGAAACTCGTGGTAAGTGTCAAGTGTTAACAAGTTTGTGGTCATTATAAGATGTGATAAAACAAATTTACTCTCACAGCGTAGGATACAGCATCTTCTCGACATGATGCTAACCACACAGAAATTTTACTGTTTGTGGGCAGGCAAGTTGACGACGTAGAACGTGGACAGACATTATGCAAATGTGTTACTTCGTGACGTAGAGCCGTAACAGAATAAGATTCGAATTCCTGATGACTTGCGCGCCGACTCTTTTTTTTGATAGACAATAACTATTTATCATGCACTGTCGGCTTCACAACTTTGCAGATAGTTTATGTTCTCATACAGCTACATGACACACTGCATGAAAGGTAATATTCGAAAAGACATAATAGGGGCACTTTAAACTTTGTAAACTGCCAACTGTTATACACGGGTTCATGAGTCCACACTTGATTTAACACTTCCACTGGCTCGAAATGATGGTTTGTAGTATAAAATGTTTAAAATGTTAGTATTTTGCTCACACAAACCTATCCTTTTGCTAGTGTAAGACTCTCTTTACAATGTTGTTTTTGGACCCCATTGACTTTCATTGTATGGACAGAAACATAAGTGTTCTTCAAAATGATTTCCTTGTGAAAAAAAAAGTCATTCCTATTTGGAACAACATAAGGGTGAGTAGACAGAGCTGTAAATCTTCAATGAGCTATCTCTATATCGTAGTACTGCTTCACCACAACTGTCCTACTATTTTTGCCTCCTGCATGGGAGAGAAGAGAATCAACCAGCGAAAACAACCAGCAGTGAGTCCCGCAGAGCGCTTATCTTTGGCTTTATAACCAGACCGACCTGACAGGCTGGTTTAGAGTGAGAAGCAGGTGGAGAGAGGTCACTGGTGCCAAACTACAGGGAAAAAAGCACATGGAGCTGGTGCCAAACAAAAGAAAGCCAAGAATCCGAGTGGTACAAAAGCCTTATTGTGCCATACTTCACAAACATCAGCACCAGGAGCAGTGAAACAGAGGGTCAAATCTTAGAGTAGAGCATAATCTCAGATAGACTCAGGCTGAATTTGAGCTGCTACCAAAAGTGTTTCAGCCATGCTGTTGTTTGTTTGTGCGCTGGTGTGCAGTGACTTAACATTTGGCTGACTAACAGCAGTAGAGGCTCGTGAGGTCGTTCTGCTGTGAGTAAGTGTATTCTCACTGCTGATGACTTCTGGAGGAATAACCCAAGCAGGGCCAAACTCATGGGAATTATGGGTCACCTTTATTGCAAAACAAGGGGAGAAGCCAAGAGGGCAGGAAAGGGCACAGCTGGCCTAGTGCAGAGAGAATTGTGTGACATGAGACATCCGGACTAGAGCTGTGTGGTTGTTCAGGAAACCAGCTTGGCTCAACATATGGTGCAGAGGCCCCTCCCTCGCTCTCTCTGATTGGCTCTCCTGTCTCCGGGTATGTGTCTGCAGAGAACAAAACAACATTTAGCCAATCAGACGAAGGCATGAATTTCCCTTCTGTTGCAAACCAAACTAAAATGCAACATTAGTGACATCACTGGCCCTTTAAATGAAACCACAAACATAAGCAAGCATGTGGTTGACAGGCTGCTTCTACTCCTAGGTATGACACTTTGTCTCAGTGGAACATGATATGATCTTGTTTTTGTTTTGTTTTTTCAAAACATATTTGGCATCATTTTTTTTCCTGACTATTCTGTGCAAAGATGAAATGCATTGTTATAAAAGAACAACATGCATACATGATTTAGTGATTCACCAGGTTACTTTCTGATTAAAAAAAATTTCCGCTTTCCTACTTTGTCCATTTGGACAACCCTTATTGAATCTAGGTCCTTTTTAAACTTTTCACACATTCAGTCTTAAAGGTGATATGTGTAAATTGTTTTAATGCTTAAATATTTTTCCTGTCCCATTTTCACTGCAAAAAGCCTAAAAGACAAGTTTTTGAGGGAAGCAACAATGCATAAGCTATTAAGACTTGTTTTCAGAAATTCTTGAAATCTTGAAAATATACTTTTTAAACTTGTTTATACTTAAAACAAGTAAGTCCCAACCCTGGTCCTGGAGGCACCCCAACACTGCACATTTTGCATGTCTCCTTTCTCTGACACCAGTTTCAGGTCTTGAAGTCTCTACTAATGAGCTGATGACCTGAATCAGATGTGTTTGATTAAGGAGACATGCAAAACGTGCAGTGTTGGGGTGCCTCCAGGACCAGGGTTGGGAACCACTGCTATAAAGTAAAGAACAGAAATGACACACATAAACATAGTCGCCATGTTAAGACTGTTTTTGACTAACTAGCAGTTAAGTCTTACTTTTCGGATTCAAATTAGACCAATCTCCATTTTTATGTAACTTGACTTTAAAAAGTTTTATGACCATTCTTGCAGAAAAAAAGTTAGATGACTAACTTTTAAGACTAGTCTCAGGAGTTTATGCAACTGGCCACAGGTTTAACTTTGGATGGACAGATGAATTATGTTTTATTATGATTTATTATAGTAAAGATTTGATTGATTAGTGATATATTTGTTGGGAATGCTTGATGTGGGAACAAAATGTATCTGTGTTTTTTCTTTTGCCCTTTTTTTGCCTCACTCTGTGTAGAAACAAAAAAAATGCATGAGTGTGGGGGAAGTGCTCACTATCAGTCTGCCTTTCCTGTTTGTAAATGATTGGTCAAGTCCCCTGAAACTCTTACAGAGGAGGAAACAGAGAGACTCTGCTGGGAACAATGAACCGCACTGGATTGCTTGCACAGAACACAATATATAAATCTCTTTGGGGGAGAAGAGAAAGAATGAAGCTTGTTTTGCACGCTAAAGAAAAAAAACACAGAAATATACCCAAAAATAATGTGTGAAATAGCATGCAAATGATTTAACTGATTTATCTAGATTCTAGACCACATATCACAATAAAAACATTTTTATCATCCACATCAGAATTCCAAGATTGCTGGACTCGAGGGTCACTTCTCTCAGATGATATCTGATTACTGGGAAAAGATCCATTAACTGCTGTCCTACAGTGGTACATTGATTTGGTGCCTCCACATCCAGTGGAATGCATAAAGAAACCATTATTTATGATCTGTTAAAAAATAGACATGTCTTCAAGTTTTCAAGGACACAGCTTGAGCAATCCAAGCCTTCCTCTGCATCACAAAGCATAATTTTTTTTTAAATAAATAAATATTGATGCATCATGTGTTATGAAAAATCATCTAAAAATTATTATTTTTTAATTATTGAATAAATGCAATTATTATATAACATTTACATTTTAATTATCATCTCAGCAATTTAAAATTCAAGATATAGTCTCTGAAAGATAAATTATCTTGCACAATGTTGCTTCTCAAGTAAACTGATAAAAAATAGTGTAAAAAAAAAAGTAAAATAAAATAGTAAAATTGTGGCCATGAATTAAGAATTAATTCCCACAGCTCATGATTTATGGGCACGTTTTATTAATTAATATCCTCGTTTTATGGCTACTATTTGAAAACAACAACAACGGATTAGTACAATGTGGCCACAATTGACTTAAAACGAGGGAATGAATTAAGAATTAATTTATAACATGCTATTTTTTTCATTTAGAGGGATTTGTAAAAAGGCACTAATCAAGAAAAACAAATGCAGTGCAGTAAACTAAAGCTGTGTGCAACGTTAAATCAAAACATTCTTTAAAATAGAGTTAAAATTTGATGATAAATGTGCTAAATGTTTGCTCCTTTTATACGGACTATTATACTGAATATATAACTTGTGCAGTGTGAGAAATGCTAAAACCACTCGTATGACAAACCCACCTGCTTTGCATTACAGGCCAAACCCACATTCCATATCATTCCTTCATCTGTGCTAATTACATTAATGACTGCATTGATAAATGCAAGAAACCTCAGCTACGTTCATGCAGTCCATTGCTCGTGTCCACTGCATTTTATACAGCCAGTTACACTCTTTACACTCATCCAGTGTTTTTTTTAATGCAATATCTCAAAATGCACATAAAAATATGTGTATGGAAACATAGCTACTGTCTGAAGCTGCTGTATAGTGCCGCTGTGCATTCGCATAAACTCTAACTTTTACACATGGCCAAAGGTTGCTGTCACTTGCATCAAATTACCAATTCGAATTGAAAATGAATGCTTCCGGATGTTTTGCAAATCGCAATAACACTGTAGTTAACAGTGAACACACTGTTCTTCTGTCCCTCACATCCTCATTTCCATTCACATCAAATTAAATATGGCACTAAACCATACTGAAAAGTGAAGAATGACATTGGAACATTAGTATTATGTTTGTCCTTTAAAGGCTGGTTCACAATGCCTCAGCAAACGACTCAAGGATCCAGCAAAACCCATCAACTGTTGAAATGTGCTGTTTGTTGAGCCAGTGTGAACTAGCAGTGTTAACTACTGCCTGGGTTAAAAGTGAGACGGGGACAAAGCTACACCGAGGGCACTACATCTGATGTCTGTGGATGACTATTTCTGGAGCTATTAGCTCTGGCAGAGGCTGTTGTGGTGTGAGCAGGGGGTGTGGGGAAAAAGTCACTTACCAGAATAGAAGCTTGAAAAACACATTTATAACATGTTTGTTCTGGATTTTAAGTAAACAAGATGACCAAAGTCACTCGGATGCCAGTGTATATTCCCGAATCGCAGCTGATGTCCTGGCACATGTCAGCCTTGTCTGTCCATGACAGTCCATATCTGTGGTATTGTTCTCTCAAATGTGTTTGGAATTACCACAGCTAGTTCAAAACAGCGCAAAAACAGCATTTGAAATGTGTCTTTACCCTGAAGTGTTGCTCGGTTGCTTTTCTTTTCCAGGAAAACATCCTAGTTTCTCAAGCACGGAACCTGATTGAAAGCAGGTGTGATATCAAAATCCAGATGAGTACCTCGAGCAACTGAGGCACATGGGTGAGGCAAGACTGGAGATTGTAAGCTGTTAAAAGTTAATTTTCATATTTTCTTGTTTTCCAGGCAGGCCATTTCTGGGAATCAGCAAAGCGCAATGAAAGCATGACTATATTAGTACACTGAGTTTTGTGAACAATCTACCATTAGTACAGAGGCTGAACTCGTTCAGGAGTTATTAGCACTTCAACTAGGCAAAAAACTGTGTTTGGGAATAACTAACTAAATGTAGTGATGCTACTAACTTAAAGGGATAGTTCACTCAAAAATGTTATCATTTATTCACCCTCATGTTGACTTTCTTTCTTCTGTTGAACACAAAAGATAGTTTTTGAAGAATGTGAGTAGCCAAACAGTTTCTCGTCCCCTTTGACTTCCATAGTATTTCTTCCCCATACTATGGAAGTCAATGGGGACCAACATTCTTTAAACATTTTTGAGTGATTTATCTCATTAACTGCAATTTCTGGCAGTAATTCAACTAGAATCATAGATTTTAGTAACTCTAACTTTTCTAGATTGCTAACAAGTAGCTTCTGTCATCATTTACTCATTCTTAAGTTGTTCCAAACCTGTATGAATTTCTTCCTTTTGTTGAACATAAAAGAAGATATTTTGAGAATGTCTGAGTTTCTGGACTCCGCTGACTATTCTTTTTTTCATACTATGGAAGTCAATGGGTACCAGCAACTGTTCACCACGTTTTCAAGTCAGATCTAGAAATTAGAGTGTTTTTGTAGTTTTGTTGTACAGGTGCATCTCAATAAATTAGAATGTCGTGGAAAAGTTCATTTATTTCAGTAATTCAACTCAAATTGTGAAACTCGTGTATTAAATAAATCCAATGCACACAGACTGAAGTAGTTTAAGCCTTTGGTTCTTTTAATTGATGATTTTGGCTCACATTTAACAAAAACCCACCAATTCACTATCTCAACAAATTAGAATATGGTGACATGCCAATCAGCTAATCAACTCAAAACACCTGCAAAGGTTTACTGAGCCTTCAAAATGGTCTCTCAGTTTGGTTAACTAGGCTACACAATCATGGGGAAGACTGCTGATCTGACAGTTGTCCAGAAGACAATCATTGACACCCTTCACAAGAAGGGTAAGCCACAAACATTCATTGCCAAAGAAGCTGGCTGTTCACAGAGTGCTGTATCCAAGCATGTTAACAGAAAGTTGAGTGGAAGGAAAAAGTGTGGAAGAAAAAGTTGCACAACCAACCGAGAGAACCGCAGCCTTATGAGGATTGTCAAGCAAAATCGATTCAAGAATTTGAGTGAACTTCACAAGGAATGGACTGAGGCTGGGGTCAAGGCATCAAGAGCCACCACACACAGACGTGTCAAGGAACTTGGCTACAGTTGTCATATTCCTCTTGTTAAGCCACTTCTGAACCACAGACAACGTCAGAGGCGTCTTACCTGGGCTAAGGAGAAGAAGAACCGGACTGTTGTCCAGTGGTCCAAAGTCCTCTTTTCAGATGAGAGCAAGTTTTGTATTTCATTTGGAAACCAAAGTCCTAGAGTCTGGAGGAAGGGTGGAGAAGCTCATAGCCCAAGTTGCTTGAAGTCCAGTGTTAAGTTTCCACAGTCTGTGATGATTTGGGGTGCAATGTCATCTGCTGGTGTTGGTCCATTGTGTTTTGAAGATGCTGATTTCATTTTCCAGCAGGATTTGGCACCTCCCCACACTGCCAAAACCAAGTATTGAGTACATGTACAGTAAATGAACATACTTTCCAGAAGGCCAACAATTCACTAAAAATGTTTATGAAGTATTCTAATTTGTTGAGATAGTGAATTGGTGGGTTTTTGTTAAATGTGAGCCAAAATCATCACAATTAAAAGAACCAAAGACTTAAACTACTTCAGTCTGTGTGCATTGAATTTATTTAATACACAAGTTTCACAATTTGAGTTGAATTACTGAAATAAATGAAATTTTCCACAACATTCTAAGTTATTGAGATGCACCTGTATTTAGAGAAATGTATATGTATGAAATTTAATGTGGTTTACATAAGTCATACATATTTGTTTTGTTAATAGAGTGTTATTTTAGTATCATGGAGATACTATTATAGTTTTTATTAATATTATATATGAACCAGTTTTATATAGTCTGTATATTATATTTTCTGATTTCATTTTAAGTTTATTTAAAGTTTTAGTAATTTTGTTGTGTGTTTTTGTCATTTTTTTGTAGTTTTTTATGTCTATATAATTTTTATTACACTTGTAGTTATTTTAGCACATCATAAAAATTTGAATTTAGCTAAAATAGATTTTATTTAACATTTATTTTATTTCAAGTAACACATTTTTCTTATGGTTTTAACTTAATAGTTTTAGTTTTAGTTAACTATTATAACCCTATGTTAATATATTTAAAAAGCTATTACCCCCTTAAATAGCTTCAGTGTAGTTAGCTACTATTGTTTTAAAATACTTACGAGATAAATAATTACGAGTATCTTGTAAATTGGAAGCAGCAGGACAGTTAGAAAAACATGCAATATTTTTGTCCTAGAAGTGACAGGGGAAAAAGAGAGAGAAAGAAACTGACAGAGTGAGCCAGGAAGAGTCAGCGTGTGTCCATGAGTGTGTTCAGGTGTCACAGGGGAGCGGGTGCGAGGTTACAGGGATCTCTGTTGCACTGGCTTACTCTGGTTCGCTCCGCATTTGCTTGGCTGTGCTCCAGAGTGAGGGGCTCACGGCTCACACCTTGTTTGTCCTTTCACAGCTTGGCCTGGTCCATATTGTGTGCAATTTGGTTCCCTGAGTACTTGTTTTCCATTCTGGATGTCATGTCAGACTCAGGATTTCATAATATGTCCTTAAGGTATTATTAAACAGCGAGTAGCGACAGAGTACTGCAATTATACTTCATTTACTCTGTCAAAGATGTACATGGAAAAGCAAAAAATAGCTTTATGTAATAATAAAAAGAATACACACCTGTATGCTCATCATAATCATATGAGCAAACATGCAAAAGCATAGGTTTTGGGCTTTATGTAAGTGTTTAATCTAATCAAGATGTGTTTACAAATCAACACGATC